GCTAATCCTCCTCTTTTTGCTGAGGAAGACCAGCTCTGAGCTAACATCTATTGCCAATCCTCCTCCTTTTTGTCCCTCAAAGCCCCAGTCAATAGTTGTGTGTCATAGTTGCACATCCTTCTAGTTGCTGTGTGTGGGACGCGGCCTCAGCGTGGCCGGAGAAGCGGTGCATCGGTGCGCAGCTGGGATCCCAACCCGGGCCGCCAGTAGCGGAGCGCGCACACTTAACCGCTAAGCCACGGGGCCGGCCCGGGACCTTGGTTTCTAAATAGCATTCTCCAAGAAAAAGAACCGAAGCTTCTTGGAGATGCTGCTGATTCTAGGGCTGGGATGGGAGGAATACAAAATGAACCTGAAGCATCTTCGAGTGTCAGAAAATAAGGAAATGGAAAAAAAAAAAAAACGGCGCACGTTAGGTCCACAAGAGCCCCCCTGAAGGAGCTCCTGATGGCTGAAGATGGAATGACAACCAACAAAATTAAGCACAACAGTATTTAACTCTAACTCAAAGAATAAAATAATTAAGTGGAGGAGAATGGAAAATGCTCCTTATACAGGGAGTGTAAAAGGAGTAAGCCACCTCCTTCACTCCATGGCAGCCATTTCCTGGTGCCATCTTATGTGACAGGCTCTCGGCTGCGGCTGGGCTGTAACGACGGACCCAGGGGGAGCTCACAGCCTGCGGTGGGATCGACAGTGCTCACGGGCCTCCAGTCACCTCCCACAAGGGCACCCACCTGGTTCCACTCGCCCTCTCAACCACTCGAGTCAGTCACCCTCTTTTCTTTTTTCTCAGGACTCTTTTAGTAAACTGAAATATAAATCACATGAAATAAAATGCACCCATTTTAAGCATACAGTCTGATGTGTTCTGACAAATGTATGTCCCTGTGTAACCATCACCCCAGTCAAAATAAAGAACATTCCAGCACCCCAGAAAGTTTCCTCCTGCCCCAACCCTGGTAACCACTGATCTGATTTCTGTCGTCAGAGCTTGGTTTCGCCTATTCTAGAATTTCATAAAGATGGAATCATACAGTATGTGTACCCTTTTGAGTCTGGCTTCTTTCATTCAACATAGCATCTGCAAGATGCATCCATATGGTTGCATTCATCGATGACGTATTTCTTTTTATTGCTGACAAATATTCCCCTGTATGGATGTCCCAGAGTTGGTTTGTCCCTTCACCTCTAATGAACCACCTCACCGGGGGGTTTCCAGTGTCAGCTATTAACAACAGAGCCACTGTGAACATTTATGTACAAGCCTTTCTACGGACATGTGCTTTCATTTCTCTTGGGTAAATACTAACGAGTGAAATGTCCGGCTCATAAGGGAGGCCTCTAACTTCTTAAGAAACCATCAAACTGTCTTCCAAAGTGGTGGGAACAATTTCCAGCCCCATCCGCAGCGTCTGAGTTCCAGTTCTCCACATCCTCACCTGCGCTTAAACAGTAGCATCCCCTTTTATGAAGCCATGTTAACAGGTACAGGTACAGCATCTCATTGCAGCTTTCATTTGCATTCCTGGATGTCTAATGACGTTGAACATCTTTTCATGTGCTTATTCAACATTCATATATCTTTGTTAAATTGTCTGTTCACATCTCTGGCCCATTTTCAAAATTCAGTTATTTTCCCCTTGTTATTGAGTTACAGTTTTGAGCCATGTTTTCATTAACACAGACCAGAACCAGGTCATCCTCTGTTCTAACCCTCACCTGGACTCCTCCCAGGGAATTTGGAGTAAAATCCAAACCCCAGGGTCTGGTCCTCCACAATCTGGCCCTGCTCCCTGGCCCTTGGCTCAGTCCTTTCTTCCACACAGGCTGCCTGGCCGCCCTCTGAACCAGCCAGACATCTATTACTAGGAATCATCTTATTCAGGATTCTCTGGGCACGCTTAGTGTTTACCTACTCCCCCAAAATAAGCTGGGGCTTCCCTGCATCTCGGGCTTCTGGTACTGCTGTTGAATGAATAAATAAATGAGTGAATGAATGCCTCTTATCTAGCTGGAGAGGTCAGCGAAGTCTTTTCTGAGGAAGTGACACTGCATGATGATCAGAGAAGAATAAAGAGGAGTTAATCAGATAACAAGGTGGAGAAAGAGCATTCCAGGCAGAGGGGTCAGCATGTACAAAGGCCCTGTGGCAGGAAGGAGCATGGTTTGTTCAAGAAACTATAAGAAGGTAGATGGGTGGGAGAGACAGGGAGGAGAAGGCAGCAAGGGGTTATGGTTTTAGTCTCTAAACCAAGACCATGAGCAAAATGGGAAGCTCAAGGTTTTGGGGTGAGGGGAATGGAGGTGATGGTGATTGAGGATTTAAGCATTCCTCTGGCTGCCAAGAGAGGAAGCAGAGAGGCCTCTTAAAGACACCTTGACAACAGTCCAGGGAGGAGTCAGGAGTGGTCTGGAATCCAGTGGAGGCCGGGGTGGTGGTGAGCGGACAGAGATCAAGGACAGCTTTAGGAGGTGAAGATGTGCAGGCCTGGATTGGTGGCGAAGGTGAGGGAGAACAAGGACACTCCCCCCGCCCCCAGGGTCTCTGGCTCTTGGGGTGGAAGGATAGATGGCAGTGCTCTTGGCAGAGGTGAATGTCATGGGCTGGGCTGGGCTGGGCTGGGCTGGGTCACACCAAACTCCCAGGAGTCTGGGCTGGCCACGGATGGGAGGGGTGGCCGGGGAGAAAGAGAGAGGGAGTGGGCTGGGGAGCTGACAGGCCGTCAAAGCCGCAGGAGGACGAGACAGAGTATAAGAGAGGCAGAGAGAGAGATCTCTTGCTGTTTGGACGCCTAGGTTCCTGGGTCCCAGACACGCGCATGGGCAGGAAGCTAGCTAGACCAGAGCCAGCTAGTGTAGACAACCCATCTGTGCGAGCAGAGACTGGTGGGAGCTCCGACGGGGTGTTCAGGGACGGCAATAAGAAGGTTTCCAGCCGCCAGCACAGGGGTGAGGGGAGAATGCGGGGGTCTGAGGAGGCCCCAGGCCTTGCGCGGGCCCAAGCAGCCGGGACAGCCGGGTCGAGGGGAGGAAGGGAGGAGGGGGAAGAAGGGTGGAAGAGGGGCAGGCGGGGAAGAAGGTGAAAGAGGGGAGGAGGGGAGGAAGAGAGGAGGGGGCAGGAGGGGAGACCGGGGAAGAGGGCGCAGGAGGGGAGGAGGGCGGGGCGGGGCGGGGGGGGGGGGGGGGGGGGCCCGCGCCGAGCCGCCCTCGCCTTTTTCTCCTTCCGCACAGGCTGGGTTTCCGCTTCCCTCCCGGGCGCGGGGACAGAGGGAGCGGGACAGAGGGAGCGAGACCGAGCTTCGGCCCGGCCGCCGCCGCCATGTGGTCCCCAGCCCCGGCCCCCGACCCGGCCCCCGAGCCTGCCGGCCACTCCCGGCCCGACGCGGCGGTGGCCGGGCTCCGCGCCCTCCTGCCGGCGCCCGCCTTCCTCTGCTCGCTCAAAGGCCGCCTCCTGCTGGCCGAGTCGGTGAGTGCGCGGGACCCCCGCCCCCGGGCCATCGGCGGCGACGAGCCGGATCTGCAGGGGCCGAGGTGGGGCCGAGGAGGGGGCGCGGATGCCGCCGTCTGAGCGCCCCGTCCCGGCGCCCGGCCGGCCGCCCCCTCTCCGAGCCCCGCGGAGTTGGGGAAACTGCCCCACGCTTCGGACGGGCTCGCTGCAGCTCAGCGCGAGTCAGAGGCGAGGAGGGCTCGAACCCAGGGCGTCCCGGTCCTAGAACTCAAAGTTGGGGGCCGTAGGGAAGCCTGGGGAGGGGTCCCGGCGACGCGGCGGCCGGGCCCCTGGAAGCCAGCCCGTCGCTGTGTGACCTCGGGCGCCTCCGCCCTCTCTGGGCCGCGGGGGCGGGCTGCGTCCCCGCATCTTCTGGCCTCCATCGCGGGGCTCGGCTCCGAAACCCACCTCCGCCACCCCGGCTGGGCCCCGGCAGCACTCAGCCCGCTCGGCCCTTAACGACCCCCGGGTCGGGGGCAGGGTCGGCTCTCCGCGCCCTTGCCCACTTTCCTGGGCTCTGGGGGACCGGCCGGGGCTCGAGCTGCGGGGCGGAGGCAGGAGTGGAGTCCGGCCAGCCGGGAGCGGGGACAGCGGAGAGTGGGAAGGGGCCCCCCGGGATTGGGTGAGGCCCGGGCCGCACGGTGGGGGCGCGCGGGCAGCCCCTCCACCCTCACCCCCGGCTGCGGGGGGCGGGGGCCCCGCGGGGTGACTTCATCCCCCTCCTCCCCGCCCTCGCTCGGATCCAGCCGCCCCGCCCCCGCTGAGCTCCTTCCTCCTTCCCGCACCCCCCACCCCGGCTGGCAGGCCTTTGTCCTCCGGACGCTCCGAAAACCCCCGCACTGTCCGCGTGTGCAGTGGGGGGGTGCTGCTGGGCCTGCAGGAAGGGAAGAGGAGGAAGAGGCCGGGCAGCGGGGAGGCCGGATGAGGGAGAACACTTGTTACTTAGGTCCACGGCAATATGACAGTCCCTGTCGTGAGTCCAACTTTACAGACAAGGAAGCTGAGGCCCGAGCGTCTAGGGGATTTGACAGGTGGGTCAGCTGAGGGCCGGGTGACGTCAGGGACGGGGGTGGGGAGCAGAGGAAGGAGGATTCTGCCCCAGACCTCTCCTTTGTACCGCCCAGGGCAGATGGCAGGAGGCGGTCCTACACCTCTTCAACACCCAAGTGAGGCCCCAGGGCCCAGGACTCGCAGCCCACCTCCAGGGAGCGCCTCCTGCTTGGCCACCCCAGTCTCTCCCTGGAGACTGATGGGAGGCACTTTTGTGGAGAAGCCTTGAGTCCACCCCCTCAGGCCCGCCTCATGGGTGGAGGGGTGCAGGCCAGCGCATTAGAGGGGGCCCTTGGGTAGCTGGGTCTAGGAGGATGAAGGGGGGAGTAAGGAAGGGTGAGGGGTGGACACTCAAGACACAAGGGGAGCCACTCCAGGTCACTCCTGCCGCCCTCTGGTCACCTCTGGCTGCCCCCAGGCCCAAGTGGGGAGGCTGACATGGACGGGAAAGAGGAGGAAGTGGCCACCAGGAGTCAGGGAATGAGGAAACAGGAATCGAGAGGGGGATCCCCAGAGTCAGGCCTTGGGGGGGACAGGAAGGGACACGAGAACAGCCCTCAGCAGAGGAAGTACAGCAGGGGCCGTGGACAGGGCTGGGTCAGGGTCCCATGGCCTTGCCTTCCTGGGGGACCCTGGCAGCCTCTCAGCCCCTCTCTATGCTTCACTTTCCCATCCGTTCAGCTGGGCTCGGCAGCCTCCATGGCCATGTTCAAGGCAGATGTGGGTGCCCTGGGGACTCCCTGGGATCTCTGCAGCTCATTTGTCTGCTGCAGCCACAGTGCTTCCTATGGGGCCTCTGGGTGTCCCCTGGGCCCCACTCGGAGCTACTCAGCCACAGACGTGCTCAGACCTGCCCACAGTGACAGAAACCAGGACAGATAAAGGTTAGCACCCACAGGGCAGGGTTGCTTAGGAATTCTAGTTGTGGGGGCAGCCAGCCCCGGGTTCAAATTCTGGTGCCCTTTTATTAGCTGCATGACACTGAGCGAATCACTTCACCTCTCTGAATCTCAGTCTCCTCCTCTGTAAAGTGGGCTGTGAGCCGCGTGTGGTGCATGGGTGGTTGTGAGGATCGGAGGAGATCCCACAAGCCTCAGCGGGCACTGGGCCAGGGAACAGCCCCAGCATCATGGTCTGCGGAACTAACGGGGGGGGGGGGGGGGCTTACCATCCGCCAGCGTCAGTTCCGACCCCCACTGTGTGCACAGGGCTGTGGAAAACAGCTTGTAGTTCCTCAGTCCAGCTCGCCCCACCTTTCACAAAGGGTGGAGGGATGATGCTACAGGACCTGAGGTGTCAGTGTCACCACTCCTGCTCCGGGATGTTTTTTTCACGCTCTTATGAAAATTTGCAAATATATGAAAAAACTTAGAGTATAGGTGTTATGCTGTTGACACCTACATGCCCACCACTAGACTGTGCAGTTAACACATGCTGTATTTGCTTCATCACATATCTTAACCCTCTAGCTGTCCATCAATCCATTTTACTTTTTGATGCGTTCAAAATAAATTGCAGACATCAGTATATTTCAACTCTGAACACTTCAGCATGCATATCATTAACTAAAGTTTAGGATTTGTGTATTGTCTTCCAGGTAAAATTTACATTCAGTGCAAAGCACAAATGTTGGGTGTTGGGTGTAATTTTTTGAGCCTGGTTTCTGCTTTGTGGGCTGCCTTTTGAAGCTGCTTAAGTTTTTTTTTGTGTTTTTTTTTTTGTGAGGAGATCAGCCCTGTGCTAACATCTGCCAATCCTCCTCTTTTTTTGCTGAGGAAGACTGGCCCTGGGCTAACATCTGTGCCCATCTTCCTCTACTTTATATGGGACGCCGCCACAGCATGGCCCGCCAAGCGGTGCGTCGGTGCACGCCGGGATCCAAACCGGCGAACCCCGGGCCACCGCAGCGGAGCGTGCACACTTAACCGCTTGCGCCACCAGGCTGGCCCCCTGAAGCTGCTTAAGTTTGATTTACCTCTGTTGGACACTGTCTGAGCTGGGTGGATTCTGCCAGAGACCCTGCTGAAGTGGGGGTGGGGGACCTCCTGGGGGGCTGGACACTCATGGGAGGCTGGGGCTTCCTGATTGCATCCTGGCAGGGAGCTGGCATGGGGTCAGGATGCAGGGCCATGCCCAGAGCACTGAAGGCAGCCCGAGTGTTGGCCTGGGCCACATGGCAGGGTTCTAATCCTGGCAGCTGCGAGACTGTGGGCAGGTGGCGCCCCCTGCGGGACCCCCCTCTGTTCCTGACTGCAGGGCCTGGCTCCGGAGCACCGAGCACCGGTTGAGCGGTTGAGCGGCTGTGCAAACGCTCTGACTTCTCCCTCCCCCACCTCCCAGGGTCTCTCCTTCATCATCTTTGTCTGCTATGTGGCATCCACAGCGTCTGCCTTCCTCACGGCTCCTCTGCTGGAGTTCCTGCTGGCCCTCTACTTCCTCTTTGCTGGTGCCATGCAGCTGAATGACAAGTGGCAGGGCTTGTGCTGGCCCATGATGGTGAGAGCTGGGGCCCAGGAGGAACGGGTGGGCTGGCCATCACAGAGAGTTGTCGTGCATTATCGCCTTCACCCCTTCTTCAATGCCATGGAGGGGCTGTTTGCAGTTGGTTGGAGCCAGAGCGGTAGACCTGGCTTCAGATGATCCAGGGCCCCCCCACTCAGCAGCCATGTGACCCAGAGCAGGTTGCTGCACCTCCAGGGCCTCCCGTGTCCCTCTGTGAGGCAGAGAACCCCAAATGGCGCCCTCATCTCTGGCCACCAGGTGGCACTGGTGCTCCCAGCTGGACCTGTGGGAATGAGCCTCAGCAGCAGGAATTCAAGCCGTTGCCACATGGACAGAGCAGGTTGACTGAGGACTTGCAGGGCAACTGTTTTATCACCTGGGAGGGCCCGGAGCCCCGCCTCAGACTTTGCTGTATGAAATGGGTCAGAGAGCAGGGAGAGCAAAGGCTGCATTTGAACCCTGGTCTCTTGAGTTCATATCCAACAGTCTGCATGATAGGCTGCACCCTGTGTCCCCATTTTAGGGACAGCTAGGCAGAAACCATGACACATAAATGGATCTGCCACACTATGTGGCAAAGCGAGGTCCAGGGCCAGCTCTCCCCATTGAAGAGCCACAAGGGAGCAGATAACAAGGTTTCCAACTTCTCCCTCCTGGCCAAAGGGGAGATCTGCAGCCGGACCAAGTCACGGGGCGAGCTGCAGCCTGGTCTATGCCCTGCTGTCCACCAGGCAGAGGCTGGCAGCACGCAAGAGGCACCTGGGCAGGGGCAGGTGGGAGAAGGACCAGGGAATGCAAGTGGGGGACAGAGTGGGAGCCCCATGGACACTGGACCTGGGGGCCAGGTATGTGTCCAGGCTGCCAGGCCCATCCTCCTCTGGGAACAGTGGGATTCCAGCCCTGTGCATGCCACTTGGTGCCCTTCCGAGCCCCTCTCCCCTGCCTTGGCTCCCAGCTGGCCCCCTCCATACTATGCCCCACTCCAGGGAGCTCAGGGCAGTGTGACCATGCCCCTCTCTCCCCAGGACTTCCTACGCTGTGTCACAGCGGCCCTCATCTACTTCGCCATCTCCATCACAGCTGTTGCCAAATACTCGGATGGGGCTTCCAAAGCAGCTGGGGTGAGTACTGCCCTATCCCTGGGAGAGGGGTGCCCAGTGAAGGCCCCCTTAAGTCACCTCACCCCTCCTGAAGCCCCAGATGCCTCTCAGGATACCCACTTAGCATCTGGGGCACATTCTGTCCCTGCTTAGGCCCCTTGGGCTTGCATGTGGATCTCAGCGATTCCAAAGTCCTCTTATTGGAGGTTTACTCTGCCCCAAGTTTTGAAAGGCTGTTTGCCAAGTCAACAGCTCTATTTGTCATTAATGGGAGGGGTCTGTGCCTACGAATCCCAGCTGCTTATCCAAGCAGATAAGAAACTCTGGGGCTGCACCCCCCCATTCCCAGGCTCCTGGACCAGGGACTCCCAGCTCCTGATGATGTGTCCCATCCACCCTGTCCCCTATCCCACGTATCCCACAGGTGTTCGGCTTCTTTGCCACCATCGTGTTTGCAGTTGACTTCTACCTGATCTTTAACGACATGGCCAAATTCCTCAAACAAGGGGACACCGCAGCCGAGACCACAGCCGAGAAGGCAGAAGGTGGGTGGCCACCCTGTGGTTTCCACCAGGGAACCCAGCTGATAACCCCAGGCCTCTTGCTGCAGGGGCCCTGTTCTCCCTTGGGGACACTTGGCTGGTTTGAGGCTGGCGTAGGAGCGTTTCCTCTCTCCCCACCGGCAGGAAGCGTTTTCACAGCCTAGTTCTCATATCCCTTCATGCAGCACTGATCATAAAGCTGGTCCCCTCAGAGGAGCACAGGGCTCCCCAGGGCCTCAGCCTTTCCAGCAAGGGCCAGCTGAGGGCACGTCCGGCACCTCCCGCTTGGTGAAACCTTCCCTGACGAGCCCCCAGGGCAGCCATTCACTCCCCCTCAGCTCCCTGGGCACAATTTGCCTGCCATGGCTTAAGGGCCAGGGAACCAAGCTCCCATCCTTATCCGCAGCACCCAGCAAACCCAGGCGTGTTTTGCTGTTTATACACAAGGAAAGTGCAACAGCCATTCTGGCCCCTCAAGTCATCCTTCAGCTCAGAATGGCTGTTGTGCCTTCACCTGATTTAAAAAAAAAAAGAAAGCTGCGAGTTGGATGGCTGGTTTTTCCATCTGTGACAACACAGCCATACCAACGTGTCACATTCTTGGGGTGCTGGTGCCCGGCACGGGGAAGGGGCGTATGGTGGGGGGGCCCTGCAGGGGTGCAGCTGGCGGGAACAGCTGGTTTGGAGCTTGCAAGCTCCCTCAGGCTTTTCTTAGCCACAGCCCGGGAGCTCCTGCCCTGGGAGGCCACCAGAGGAGGTCCCTGCCCAGAGGGGCAGGAGTTGCAAAGCCAGTGGAGGCTCCAGCACAGAAATGCCAGGAGGCCCAGTAGCTGAGCTGGGACGGAGGGCCTGGCTCCATGGCTCTGCGGCCTGTAGGCCATGTCCCTACCCCACCCCCTCTGCACCCCTAGGTGGGCTTTCAATGGAGAGGCAGATGTCAGCTCCCAGCAACTGAGCAAATCAGATGTTTGGCTCAGCACCAAACTCACCCCAGCCTGGTGTCCCCTGATCCCTCCCAGGCCCTTGTGTCAGCCTCTGTTGACCCAAAGACCTGCTGAGGCTGCCATGTGCTGGGTCCTAGGGACATGCAGATGGGCAGGGCCAGACTACCTGCCCTCAGGTAGTTCAGCCTAGACAGGGGTCAGACCCAGAAACAGTGGTGATGTACACACAGGGCACATACAGGGGCAGGAGGAAGGAGCAGATGTCAACTACAATAGCAAAACAGGAGCTAGCAGAGGTGGGGATAAAGCAGCTGAGGGAGGGCCCACCCTGTGTGCCAGCCAGGATGCTGTGGAGGCGACCCGAGAGCTGCGTTTTGATGGATGTGTAGGAGTGTGCAGGCAGAAGAAATAGGGCAGGTAGAGGGAGGAGGACAACAGAGTATAAGGAGCCGGTGCTTCCATCCAGGTGAGATGCTTCTCTGGAACAGGTGGTTGTGTCCCCATGAGGATCAGCAGTAACGTGTGGCTGGACAGGGGGACAAGGGGAGCTTTGGAAGGGCCTGCAGGCCCTGCCTTGGAGTTGGGATCTCCCCATCATGCACTTGCTGTCCCCAGGCAGTACTCAGCCGGTTAGGTTTATGAACCAACAGAAACCGTCCCTCTGCTAAAAACGGATGGTGGGCTCATCTTGTCCCATCCCATACTGCAGCTCCCCACCTCCATGTGGACACACCCTGGAGGTGACAGCAGCTGCCTGTGGAGGGTCCCAGGCACGGGGCTGGCCCTCACACCAAGCAGAGACCACCAACACCACAGGCAGCCACAGGAGGGGCCTGAGCTCGGGGCTCCAGCCGACAGCCTGGCTGTGCCTCCCCAGAGACGGCTCCCAGGCACCACTGGCCCGGAAATTTCTGCTAAGCATCTTCTTTGTTTTCCTTTCAGAAGAGAATTCCTCTGACTCCGACTCCAACTCCAACTCCGACTGAAGGCCTGCCCTGCCCTGGCAACCCAAGCCACGTGGGCCTTTACTGGAACATGGCCAGGGGACCGTGTGTCTTGGGAGGGAGGCTGTGACATATTGAGCAGCAGTGGGAGTTGCTGACGGAGCGGGCCTCCTCACAGCCCCAAGGTGATGTTGCTGAGCCCAGCATACAAGATGGCACCCCATGGCCTAGCACTAACTACTCTTGCACAGGAGGGCATCTTGAATGTTCTGCCCCTTTTCCCCATGCCTGGCCCACAGACCTTAAGCCCTTAACCTCTCTGCCAAAAATAAGCACAAGGGGAGAAGCAGATAGAGCCTTGTTATCCCCATCACAAGAAGCATTTCATGCTTGAGGGTTGGGGGGGACACCATGCAGGGCCAACCTGCCACGCCCAGTGGATTTTGTCTGCATTAGTGCCCCTGCTCGTGTTGGGCACTTGGTCAAGAATGATCCTTCCAAGATTCTTTTGTTCAAGGAGCACCAGTTCCCTCTTCATTCTTGAAGAAGGGAGGAAACTGACCTTTGCCCTATCATCTAGGAGAGAGTGGGTCTCAGTGCCCATAACTGACACCTCACACCCTTGGAGACCATGTCATCTTAGGGTGACATGACTATTCTGGGTCTAAGACTGTTTCAAAGTAATACTCCGAGACTAGCCTACTCTGTCCAAGAGATCGAGGGTACCAAAGGATGAAACGGCAGGGACAGCATCCTGGGTAGCTGGGCAGGCCCAGCCAAACCCTCTCTCTCCCTGGGGTGATGCCAGCAGGTGACGAGTTCTCAGGCACTCAGGACAGTGTGCTTCTAGACACCAGAGCAGGTCTCCTGACCGCCTCAAGAGAGACAAGACGTGCCTTCTGTGTTCACCTAAGGACCTAGGCTGTGTATATACCCTCAGTGGGATTTTATAACTTTATATAATTTTTTTTTTTATACAAAAGCAGCTTCTTAAATTGCATTTCCTGTGACCCAAGGGGACTCATGAATGAGCCAGAGTTCTGGACCCATGTTATGGGCATTTGTAACCTTTGTTCTTCTTTTGCATGTGAATCTCCTACCCTGAAAAAAGCCATAATGGATTAAACCAGACTGGCTCCCTGCTTGGAGTGTGCGTGTTTGAACAAACCTTACATCCCCTGCCCCGAGCAGTGCTGTCTGGTACCATGCTTCAGCCCAGCACATACAAGGTGAATCCCGACAGCTCAGGTGTCAGCAACAGTACATGTGCACTTGCTCCATGCCAGGCCCCCTAAGCGTGTTCTCTTCTTTACTTCTCACACAGTCCTGTTTACAGTTGAGGAAACTGACAGAAGGTTCAGTGACCTGCCCAGGTCACCACAGCCCCTTCAAGGAGGCCCAGGGCCCTGTCACTTACTTGTCAGAATAACATCCATGGCAGCCTCTCAGCCAGAACCTGGGCTGTGGTGGTTTGGAAACTGGTTGCACAAGGGACCTCATAGTTGCAGCCCAGGAGGACCCTGGGCCAGCACTTGGGCCCAGGCCAATGGGAAGAAGCCAGGCATTCTGCCCCAACCTTCACACACAACACAGGCTCACAGGCCTGCTTCAGGAAAGTCAGAGCAAAGAAAGATACAATACCATTTTTACATGTCCATTTATTAAACAAGAACTCCTTCATGACAATACAATATTTATTAGCGATTAGTGTTGAGAAAATTATTTCCCTCTACATACAAAAATACAGATTTGAACACTATGAAAACAATCAGACAAGTACCGTGAAAAGTTGGTCCTTCAAAAGAAAGAAAGGGGGGAAACAGGGCAACATGAGGCTTTGTCTGCTGTCAGGGACAAGCCAACAGGAGTGAAGGCTTTGGGGCCCCAAAATCACTCCAAATGAAGAGAGTCAAACCCAAACGCCAGTTGGAGTGAGTGGTGCCCAGCCCAGGGCATCCATGTTGGTTTGAGAAGCCAGATGGGAGCTCTGAAGAGCATAAGCCAAAGTTTGCCAAATGGGCATCACCTCAGAACGCCCCACAGCTGCGTCTAAACTGTAGCGGAAACAGACCTTCAGAAGCAAAGTGTAATCATTATTAAATTAACATCGTCCCCCAAAAGTGCCACTGGGCCAAGTACCAATGAGGAATCATATTAGAGTTATTAGCCATCTGACTTGACTTCCTTTGTTAGAAAACAATTGCATATTCTGACTCTTCAAAAGGACAAAAAAAAAAAAGCTACAATTTTATGTTTCAATAAATCCATTCCTTCATTTTGCAACGGCTCAGCTAGTGTGCTCAAGATTTTTCCTGACCAGACATAACTCGTGCCCTGTAGAGGTGGGACAACAGAAGGAGCAGCTCAGCGTTGTCTGTGTCTTGAGTTCATAAAGCTCCTCACAGCAGGGCATCCATTTTGTTCCGGCCAAAACCAGAAAGGGCCACCGAGCCTACCCAGGGCATCCACACAGCAATCTGAAATCCGAGTGGCAGGTGAGCCCGTGACCAGCGGAGGCCCTCCGAAAACCCTGTCCCACGTGGGCAGAGGGAGGCAGGCAGCAAAGCTGGAGGGACAGCTGGGGCTGATCTGGAAGACACCAGGCCAGAGACCACCCTCCGGTTCACTAGCCCACAACGGGGCTTTTCACCATTTTGGACCCAAAGACAGGGAAGTCTGAGCACCAAGGATATTCTGTTCTGTTCTTTTTTTTAACATGGAGCCACCTTCCTCTTACTGTTTGAGGTGAGCAGTAGCTCTCCAAACTGAACAAGTGGTTAAAAAATGCCAAATATGGGGCCAGCCTGGTGGCACAAGCGGGTAAGTGCGCACGCTCCACTGCGGCGGCCCAGGGTTCACGGGTTGGGATCCCGGGCGCGCACCAACTCACCACTTGTCAGGCCATGCTGTGGCGGCATCCCATATAAAGTGGAGGAAGATGGGCATGGATGTTAGCCCACAGTCAGTCTTCCTCAGCAAAAAGAGGAGGATTGGCAGATGTTAGCTCAGGGCTGATCTTCCTCACAAAAAAAAAAAAAAAAGCCAAATGCAATTATACTGATTAATAATTATTTCACAGAAATATACTCTTCCTCTCAGACTATTTAAATAAGCAGAAACAAGATGTCGGGGAGAAAGCAGCAGAGAAGAGAGAAGAATAGCCAGGGTTGGTTTTTTTTTTTTCTTTTTTAAAATACATATGAAGTTTAAAGGGAAAACGGCTAAACCTCAGAACCAGCATTGCTGAAAGCAATATTAAAGGACACAATCTAAAATCATGCTACAAAAATAGTGTTATCTGGTTTAACTAAATGTACATCTTTTTTTCAATTCCATGATTGACAAGAGTGCTTATGTGACACACGGAAGGCACCAAAGGTGAAGTGATTATTATTTGTCTTAAAATATACAAAGACAGAATTACCTACTTCAGAAAAAAAAAAATACAGTCATACCTGTAATAAATAGTTAAGTGTTTTTGCCACGGGTTCCTGAACCCCTACAAATTTCAACATATACAAATAGTTTCGATCCCTAGCATTCTCTTAGAGGGAACTACATCAAACAAAATCAAGTCATGAAAAGCACTGGTTTTATCCATATAAGTCAATTTCATCGTGAGGCAGGATTTGAAAACTCATTTTTAAATGGGTGACAGAGTGAGAGAGTTGGGAGCAGGCGGCCCCTCAGTGGACTTGGGCCAGCTTGGGGGGCCATCCAAGCGACCCGTCCTCACCCCTCCCCAGAAGCCAGCCTTCCCCTAGCCCCTGGACCAGCCAGTCTTCCCTTCAAGCCCCAAGTATTTGCCTTCCTCACTTCTGCAGAGAGGGGAACAGAGTCTTGAAACTTGCAAAATCGATTCGGGAAAGGCAGGAAAGCAAAACAGCCTGCAGAGAGAAGCAGCCATCCGTTAGACCCAGCCCTGCGTGGAGTGGCACCAAGTCCCCCTGTCCTCATTTCCTGACCATCCCCCTCCAGGTGGCGTTCCTGATAAAAGGGGGTGCCTCCTACTGGGCTTCAGCAGTGTCCTCCAAAGACAAAGACTCAGATTTCATGGTTTCAGACTATTGCTGAAGCCCATACAAACTGCTATCAGAATCCACTGTTTCATACCTTCTCTCCTCTGAGCACAACTATGAAAAGAAACTTTGGGCCCCACCCTAAATCCCATCAAGAAAGCTGATTCAGGTCATTTGAGACAAGTTCCTACTCTCAACTTAGAACCATAAAGTTCTGATAGCTCACTAGAGTCCAGGCTATTAACCCCTCAATGAAGGCTCTGGCCGTTGTGCATTATGCATCCCAAAGAAAACCCCGTCACTCACTCCAAGGTGTCTGGATGGCAAGTCACCTGCATTAAAGTCTGGCATAAAAATTGTAGACAATGAACTAACCCTATGAAAAAGATACACTATTCAAGGATCCATAACCTAAACTTTATTCTAGACAAGTTGCCATTGATTCAAACTCAGGGGGCTTGTGGGTAACTTTTTTCTTTACTGTTATATTTATGGAATAAGAAAAAGTAGAAAGGAAAAAAAAATCCCAAAGATTGAGAAATTGTATCCAAATGGAATAAGAACATAATCTAGACCAAAGAAAGGAAAATATATCAGGACCCACTCTGTTTCAAGCCTGCGAGTGTATAAATGCCATTTACTGTGTGAAGAATGTCAAACAGAACATTCAATTTCAGAAGAAAATGCTTCTAGATCTAACAGATAGTGAGGGTATTTTCTTCCGACAGTTTCTAAATAAAAGAAATGTAAAAGGTCAAATATTTCAAATTATCTTCTTGACCTGACAGTTCTTAAGATTTCAATGATAGCTGCTGAGAAGAGAAGAAACACAAGGACTTTTTAAACAGCAAAGTTTACAGAGCTAAAGGCAGGCAGTGTGAGGTCTGCATCCTCCCTAAGGTGGTACCCAAACCAGAATCTGAGTCACCTCTCCAGACCCACGAGTTCCCAAACTCAACACCAAGAGTCCCCCCAGAGCGCCAAGGAATACTGGTCCCAACATTCAGCTCTCGCTCTCAAGCTGATTCCAGAACACAAGAGCTCGCTTTTCCAAAGACAAGACGATAGGAAAGTAGTTAACCAAGTACATTATTGCAAGTCAGCCTGGGGTGGTAACCATGTCTACTGTTATCAACAGTCCCACGCAGCCAGTCCAGGCGTGCTGGGCCTCCTCGGCCCTCCTCTCACCTTCCACACCTGCCCCTGCTCCCACCTCAGCAGCCTGTGGCCTAGCTGGTCCCAGGAGTCGATGCTGATAAAATAAGAAAGTCCCAGGGAAGAGAGAACCCTTGGGTTCTGCAGATTTCACTAGGAACTCAAATGTGTCACAAGCTAATGGCAGTCCCTGGAGTAGGAAGCCACTTTTTATTCTGCTTGAGAGACTCAATTGGCAGCCCCTTGGCCTACAAGGTGTTTTCACCTTTTGCCACCTGTTTAATGTCATTATTTCCTTGTGAACAAAATATGGAGAAAATGACAATCAGGCAGCGGCACAACGGCTTCAGGGTTGCTTTGTTTTGAACACGGATGGCACAATGGCAACCACTTAAACTGCCTTCCAGAGTCACTGAATTGGCCACATGTTGTCTCGACACTCCAGTCATCTGTTAGGACAGGTTCTAAGACCAACCCACAGAAAATCTTGCACAACCAGAGATTAGGCCTTAGTCCATCTCTTAAACACATGGAAAGATGAGGGGTTTCTTCCCAAACAGCACGTGCGAGTCTACAAGAAAAGGTGAGCTTGGACCCTACATGGGACCTGACACGTGGAGGGGTTATTCAAGGCTCATTCATTGCAAACACAAATTCACACACATGTGCGGACAAAAGACTTGTGCTTCACCTCCTCAGGACCGCCTGTGGCTGAAGCCAAGTCTGAGTCACTAAGAAAGCTTCAAAGAAAGGCAGAGGGAACTGCAAACTTGAACAGAGTAGGAATGTTTTCATCTGAGTCACAAAGCTCTCACTAGAAGCATCCAACACAGGGTGGAGGTCAGATACACTCCATGCCTACCCATGGGCGTGAGCCTTCCTACCAGGGGACAGTAATGGTGCCCAAAGGTCTGGGGGTGTCGTCCACCTCCCAGAGCCAGGCCCTCAGAGCCAGGCCAGGTCCTCGTTGGCTTCCCTGTGGCCAGGCTGAGATCTCCCCATGCTGGCACTTCAGTTCAAGTTGCCAAGGAAGACATGGGTGTTGGGACTGGGCAGGCTACCACATTCTTGCCTCTTTGTAGGCAAAGGTAATCTCTCTTGGATGACTGTTGCTGCACAGAGTAAAATTCTATTTTCTTCACTTTAAATCAAACTTCTCTTAGGAGATTTTAATCTGTAACTGCCTTCGTCCTTCCCTGCCTTTCTATGGGGACAACAAGTGTCTTTAGGCTTTCATGATTGTAATCTCTTTGGATAAAAGGGAAAAGGTATCTCCCGCCAGGGAGCAGTAGTATGAAGGGAGGATAAAGGAGAATCAGAGAAAAAAACAGCACATTGACCCAGTCAGTGCCAAGATCAACTTTCTCGGACGATGTCAGCGTTTGCATCCATCTAAAACCACCAGAGGTTCCATCAAATGCTTGAGGGTTTCCACCATACGGTCTCCAGGAACAAATTCAAACGTACACAGCAACTGCAGCTCTCTTCGTGTTTGGCAGACACTATGAAAGCCACCAGAAAACTGAGAAAACACTGCAATTGCCTCAGTCTTAAAATGCCCCAAACCAAACTGACACTGGTCCATACTGGAACTATTAAATGCAAAAGTAAGCTTCCTTGAATTTGCAAACAAAAGTCCTTTTAAGCCCCCAAATCTAGACTATCTTGTTTGTACACAGAGGCAACATAAGAAAAATGCAGTGTCTTTGCATTCACCATAGACAACCACGTTCCCTTCATACCGTCTCACCGCCTCACTGCCACAGGTGATGAGATGCACAATTCTGCATCATGCCAATTAGCGTACCTTGCCACTTCCGGTTGCAGTGGGAGCTAATTAAATATAAAGAAATATATTTACAAAAACCATGAGAGAGCCTCAAGGCACAAAGGACATTAAATAGTTACAGGGACATAAATAATCCAGAGACTCTAACACTAAGATGCAAATTAACTCCTAGGTCGCTCTGTGGCACAAGGTATCATCACTTTTCATCATCTATGGGCATTTACAATTTCCATGGGCTTCAGAACTATTTCTTGCAGCTGACAACACATCCTCACGAGGCCAGTTGGCTCCTTTTCACCAGATGATAGACTGGTTTTATTGAAGTGACTTGGGAAAACTTGGGCAACAATCCTGCCTGAATGGTATTCTTGTTTTCAATCTCACTCAAAGGCGGCTTTTTTTTACTGGGGCCAAGTAACATGATTCCCAGCAGGAGATTTCGATAAAGTTCAGGGTGGTCCTTCCAAGGGGGCCCCATTTAATGCAAGGCTGAGTCTCTGTGACCCTGTTTTTCATGGAACTCTGAGAGGGAGATAAGGCCAATTTTGACCAAGCATATATACTCAACAAATACAAAATAAATATATAAAATGAACAGATAAAATCCAGATGTCATAATCTCCCCAAAAATCAGTATATATAATAGGTTCAAAGTTTGTGAAGCATGATTTGTCCTGCCTCACAACATACATGGGAAGAGGGCTCTATCAGACCCACTGGGCAGCACACCCAGCTGTGACCAGGCCTGGCTGCCCTCTGTGGGCGCAGAGGGGAGGTGAGTTACCACCAGACCAGCTGGGTCTGCATCAGCAGCTCACGGCCCTGAATAGACCAGGAGCTTGAAAATGTGACCTGGGCCACTGCCCCGGAAGGAACTACAGCAGAACTCAGATTGTATTAGCTCTTCGGTTCGGGGAGCTAACCCCCAACCCCAACCCTTCAGAGACAGCACAGTCCCATTTCCTGCAGAATCTCCAGCCTAGCAGTGTTACCTGATCAGTACCCCCTGCTGGGAAATCAGGCGCTCCTCTTTGATGAAGAATGCGAGGCCACACGTGGAAAGATGGACATTGTCTCACACACGCTCTCCTCCCATCACCCCAAACACGTAGTCTCTCTCTCGTTACACAGCACACTGCTAAAGCTGTAAATGTTCCCTAGGAAAAGACCCTGGGGATTCACCATGGTACTGCAAAATCTTCCCACCAGCAGTGTATTTTCTTGGTGAGGGCTAAACACAAAATATTAGAGCTAGCGTGAGGTTTGTAAACATTAAAAACAGTTCAAAGAGTGAAAACCTGACAAGTTAAAACAGTTCTTCCATAAAAGATACAATTAGTCTCCAACAGAAAAAAAACAAGGAAAAAAAACTATAGCATCATAGGGGTTCATTTAACTCATTCACCACAATAATCTTCACTTTATCAAGAATCAATTCTAAACCTTACATAACCAGAATTTTTCTCAACAGCTTCCAAGATCGATGTTCATAGTTATGACCCTGAGGCACAAAAGCGACAATTAGTGTCTTCCGAAACACCAGTGAAAGGATGCGGCGTGGTGCAAATTCAAGTATTTTCAAATCCTATACAAATCTACTCAGAATCACTTTAGAACTCTTCTCAGGCATCTGAAAATTAGCACACCTCCCTAAAAGAGAGGCGTGTCCCCACCTGTGGTCCATGAAGCCAGCAAATGAGCAAGTGTTCTGGCTGGTGGAATGGATTGTTTTTCTTTCGTGGCTTTTACCTGAGACGGTAAAATTACAGAAAATCTGCAATTCAGCCTCAAAGTATTAAGGGTAGGTAGGATACTAGAAAAACAAGATGGGCCCCATATTCCTGGAGGAGAATCTTGGGATTCAGGGAGGTGACTCATTTGAGGAAGAATCAAGTGATTTCTCAGCAGGGTAGGAAATGACAGAGGACACCAGCTTGTCCCATCCCCGTAAAGTCCAGACTCAGCAAAGAGCTCCGCCAGCACACCCTCACCAAGAGGGTGTCACACATGGCTTTCTGGGCTTGTGCTGGCTGTCTCGGTGCCCCGGGCATGGAAGACGAGGCGCAGGGGAGGATCCTGACAGCGAGACTGAATGCTGACCTGGAGCACGCTATGGGGGTGGCCCAGGAATCGCTGCTGACTGACTGTTTCAACTCTGTACCTTCATTCCTTTGATTTTCTCCTTCCTAGCAGCCCCCATTTATCCAAAGTCTTGATGTGTCACAAATATATTTGACAGGGTGGCTCAGAGTCAGATGTGAAGCCTGTGCTCAGCGACAGTGAAGACTCAAAGTGGACACGGCAGCCAGTGAGGCCAGCTGTGTCCAGGGCCACCACACGCTGGAGAATCCATAGGCCTCTCCCACCCACCTCTGTCTGAACAGCTGGGTGTGGGGGCTCCCCACTCCACATACCCGCCAACAGGGCCACTCTGAAAACCCTTTCCCAAAATGAACTTTTACCAAAGAGGACAAAATTCAACTTAATCACATGAAAATCTGACGTGACAAGCGAAAGAAAACTTGATTGAAAGGATGGGCACAAGGACGAGAGGGAGGAGGACTCTGGCAGGTCCTCACGTGTCCAGGCGCTGGATCTCGGGGCGACCGTCCACATCTCTGGACTCCGTGCGGGCTCGGATATAGTCATTGGCGCTCTGCTGGCGGATGCTGACTCTCCATTTCTGCACTGCCAGGAATGTGTTCACCGCATACACCGCAGTTGCCAAGAAGCCAAATATCTACAAGAAACAGGCACAGTCAGTCCTCAGGCACATCAGCCATCTATGGGGTGTCTGGGCAGGACCTGTCCCTGAGCTCGGGTCACTGTGTGCAGCCTCTTCCAGCTGTACCTTCGTGGCCACTGGTCGCAGATGAGAAAATACAATGTAGACGAAATGCCGTGTAGACAGAAAATCACGGTCTCACATGGGAGCCCCAAATCCAGCCATAAGGCCTGACATTCCAAATCACAGCCCCCGAGCACCCTCCCACTGTCCAGCTGCCTCTCACCTGGGCAGCTCCACGATGGCAGCTTCCGGACAAGAAGAAGCGGAGTCTTAATTATTTGATCATAACCAATGAATCTACTGAGTGACACCTGGGAGAGCAGCTAGTTTAATATTTCATATAAACCTCTTAATCCCTACCCCCATTACAAAAGCGCTATATATTCTTTGTAAATACAGAACCAGACAGAAATACAGAGCACAGAGAGTGCAAGTCTTACATTACCTGGTTTCCACCCCACCCCCCATGGCATTCTACTTTGGAGAGAAAAAAAATGTCATCTGACTGCTAAATGGAGCCAAGACTGTATTCTTCTGCATTAAGACTCCCACACTGGCAGGTAAGGCTCTTAAAAGCAACATTACTAACACTCCAGGGCTCTGCTGGAAACAGACTAAAGCAGTGGTTCTCAAACTTGAAGGTGCCTCTGAATCACCTGGGGGGCTTGTTCAAACACACTTCTGGTTCAGTAGCCTTGGGGAAGCTGAGAATGGCATTTCTAAGAAGTTCCTGGGGGATGCTGAGGCTGCTGTTCTGGGGACCACACTTTGAGGACCACAACACTGAAGGAACTGGGACCTCCACTGGCCCAATAACAACATCATTAGCAAAGAAAAAGCTAAAGGAGAATGAGTAGGACACATGCTAGGGGACAGAGGAGAGCAAGTCACAGAGAGGGTACAAATCAGCCCATGTTTTAACCCTTTGAGTTCACTTACCACCGCAGCAATTTCTGCACCGGTTTTATGGTTTAAAGCAGCCAGTACAATCGAAGCAATAAAGAAAAAGAAAGTGCTGAGTCCAGTGTTGACCAAATCCTAAAGAAAAAGATAAAATAAAATCAGCTGAAAAGAGTAAGTTCATGATTTGCCCTAAAAGCAACTGAAGAACTTCCAAAACAAGAAGCACAGTACCCAGCCTCTCTCATGGCTCCATATTTCACTCTTGAGGGCCCAGGGGTATTGGTCACACAAAGGAAGGCAAAGATGGTAACAGTTTATGATGCTGCTTGATAAATGACCACAGCAAAATCCAACTGTTAACCAACCATGTTACCATTTCTTAATGACATTATATAAAGCCAAACTGCTAACCCATCAAGGACACGCATACTAATTACCATTTAGAGTTCTACCGTCATCTTTTAAAAACATGTCTAAATCATCTTGGCATGGACAAAACTCCCCACGAGTCCAGAATGTCCCGAAACTGGTGAAATCCCCTCCAATGTCCCCTCCTTCATTTGTGACATCTCAAGCACACTGTTTTCAGACCTAGAGAACACACTTAGCCAGACCTCATACTCTTTCTATGCATGGTCCTTCAGGCCCTCGTGCTGCTAAAGCCTAGAGGATTTTCTCCTAAGCTTCTTGTAAAGCAAACTGGGTTACATATCCAGTGCTTCAAAGATTTAACTCCTGTCTGACTTGTCGAGAGGAACATAGCACAGTGATTAACAGTCACAGCCAGACTAGGGTCCTAATCATGACTCTGAACAAGCCACTTTGCTTCTCTGTGTTTTACGTGGGATTAGTACCCCCTCCTCGTGGAGCTGTTTTAAGGATTAAGTGGAACGACGCACGTGAAGGGCCGGGCACGATGCTCGGGTTAGGGTTTGGGTTCCCTGCACGTTTATTGTTACTTCTGTTATTACTACTTTGGCATGAGGCCCCTGACAGCCTGGGTCATACCACAGTGCCTCCATGATCTCTACAGGGAAAGAAAATCCAAGTAAAATCCTACACTGCTTAAGAGCCAGGCTGACTGGACCATCAATACCAGGTGGGTCCTCCTGGCTGGCCTGGCTTCATCATAACCGTACCGCACCTGTGCAGCAGGAACCCCAGCACACTCCTGGTCAGTGCTTCTGTGCAGGCTCATGGAGAGCAGCAAAGCACTGACTAGGAAACTCTGTTCAGAAATGTCTGCCAGCAGGACAGTTTTCAGCTGTGACCAGAGTTAAGCCAGGGCAAATTTTTCACAAATTCAAACCAGGAAGTGTTTAGTTATGCTCAGTTCTGGGTAAGGTGCTGTTGGGATAAAGAAGAATATAAAATGTACTTTCCAAACCAAAGACTATTCAGAACTGGGGAAACTGTTTTATGATACAATGCTGAGGCCAAACAAAACAGAAGGTACATTAATGGTGACTATGTAAAAATATAAATGTGGTAAAGGGCCAAAAAGTATCAAAGATTTTGAAGAGGTTCATGTTATTTGTCTATGAATTCCACATTTGGAAATCCATTTTAAACATCATACTAGCGCAAAAAGGTCTAAGTAAAAGGATGTTCATCATGATATTATTTAAAATAGCAAAAGACTGGAAGCAAACAAAATGCTCAAGAGTAGGGGATTTGTTAAATAAAATGGTTTTCCATAATGGAATACTATGCAATCATTAAAAATACTGATATAGTTGTATATTTAACATGGAAGACACTCAAGATAGTTTAAATGAAAAATCATGACTTTAATGGTTCAATTTTTCTCCACTCACATATCACAACATACATGCATATGTGAAAGATAGTCTAGAGAAAACAGTCTAGAAGGTTATACCCAAGTATTACAAGGGGTTACCCCTGGATGGGTTGTTATCACATATAATTTTTTAACAGCTTTATTGAGATATAATTCATATACTATAAAATATACCCAATTAAAATGAACAATTAAATCACCACAATTTAATTTTAGAACATTTTCAGCACTCCAGCAAGAAACCTCATGCTCATTAGCAGTTAATTCTTCATCCCTCCCCTAATCCTAGGGAACCACCTGTCTGCTTGCGGTCTCTGTGGATTTGCCTATTCTGGACTTTTCATGGAAAGAGATTTATATAATATGTGGTCTTTTGTGACTGGCCTCTTCCACATAGTATAACACTTCTAAGGTTCATTCATGTTGTAGCATGTACCAATAATCCATTCCTGTTTATTACCAAATAATACTGCATTGTACAGATAACACCACATTTTATTTATCTTATCAGTTTTTGGACATTTCAGTTTCTACTTTTTGGTTATTATGAATAATGCTACTATGAACTTACAAACTTTTGTGTAGACATATGTTTTCATTTCTCTGGGGTCATTGCATAATTTTATTTTTTTCTATTTTATTATCTATATCATCCAGTTTTTCTATAACAAACACTTATTACTTATATAGTTTAAAAGGCTTAAAACTGAAATACTGCAAAAGTTAGTCAGCTTCAACTACTTGAGTTTCTTGGCCAGGAAACAAAATCAAAGCTTGTAGATTCATCCCTCCTATTAGGGGGCATATACAGGCATGCCCTCAGAGGCAGATTTTTGGAGGTTTTTAGTCAACATTGGTGCTTAATTTTTTAAAATATTTTTAATGGGACATATACTCTCTATCAGCCACATGCTTTCCAGTTTGCCACAGTCGCCCCACCCTCTTCAGTCTTACACTTGGCCCCTTTATGTTTTCTGTCTAGCCCCTAAGACACCCAAGGTGGCAGCCCCCCTTATGCTAGGAGATGAAGAGGAAGGTTACCCTCACACGCACACGCTTCTGGTCTCTCCTTCAGTAACACACCAAGAAGGACAGGTGTGAGCCCAAGAAACTGCAGTAACCGTCAACAGGATCTGGCCTAAAGGGTGCTCGCTCGAGGCCTCTTGGCCATAACTGGCCCACAGACAGGTTTGACTTGTACAGTGTTCAAAACAAATTTGAACAAGCCAACATTTAAACATCAGAAGACTGCACATAAAAAACTAACTTCTAAAAAAGCAAAACAAAACCCAACTTCCAGCTGTTCTTGAAAAACTGTTGCAGAAGTCTCAAGAAGCAACGACACAATCGACTGGGCTGAGCAGGAGAACCACCTTCTCCGTCTCCCCGACCCCTGGCCCATCTTCTCACTGGCCCATTTACGTCACATGCCCAGCTGCAGTGGACCCTGAGTCTATAACCCTGCTCCAGTCCCAGAGAATGGGCCATCCTACAACATGCCCCACCCTTCCGTACTCTGTGCCCAGCATGCACCTATTCATCCTTCAAGGCCCAACTGGAATCTGGCATTTTCTCTGAACTTTCCCCAACTGACCCACTCCAGGCCTCCTGTCCCGAGGAATCCACTACCTCCGTGCCCGTGTTCTCCCAGGCCTCACACAAAACTGGATCACAGAGCACACACACTACAGGAGAGCACTTGCATCTGCCTACCCTGTGCTTTCAGTTCCCAAAACCTGGCAGAGAGCAGGTGTTCAACAGTTTGCCAAACTAGTCACAGATGAGGCACTTGTAAAAACGGGTTAAGCCCCAGGCTGTCACTGCGATCGCTCCCAAACCACTGGGCTCTGTGGCTGGCTCTAGTTTCAGCTCTGCACATGGATGACAGAGGAAGTTTATAACCACTGGGTCCACACTGTGCACTGACTTGTGCTCAAATGGCCCCAGTATCGGGGACAATCATAAGACTGCTGATAGTGGCAGCTACCATCTATGCAGAGCCTAATGTGCCAACCACATAACTCCCACTGTCTCAATGAATCCGAACCTCATTATGACCCAAAATAGCTACAAGGCAGGATGTGTTATTCTGTTCTACTTTTTTAGATGAGGAAACTGAGTCCCAGAAAGGATGAGTGTGGTATAATGAAAAACATATATTTGGTCTTTGTCCCCAGTTCCTTAGAATTTCCTGAGTGACAGGAGTGTCTTTTGTCATTCACCATTCACAATGAGCTTTCAACTGTCCCTGAGTCCCTG